AAAAAAACAAACGAAATGATGATGCGTTATAACGACTCCATGCACTGCTAACTGTCTATGTTGGACAGTTTGTATGCTTTAAATTTAATATAAGAATTAGGATAAAATCGGTGAACAGAAATTTGACAGGTAATACCCCTTTGAAGCATAGTAAGACATTTTGTTTTCTCTTTTTCAGAATTTCATGTTCTTATAATTATGGAATAGTCTGTTATACTAGAAAAAGACAACAATACAAAATGTCGAACACCTTGCTAGTGATCTTTATTAGCTATATGTATGTTATTACTTCATGGTATGGTATACATGCTTGTCCTACAGTTTGCAATTGTCTTCAAACACAACTTGTCTGTTCTAGTAGGCATTTAACTTCGGTTCCAGGTGATATCTTCCCTAATACAACCTTACTGTAAGTATTGGTAAATGATATTTAAGACTAAAACTATGTATATACAATATTACTCTTTCAATTTATGATTTTTTTTACACTGGCGTAGAAAATATTAGAGAAAATACTGCTATTTTTATATATTTCTCTAAATACAAATTGTGATACGAATCGCTGATTTAATGCTTTGAAAATTAAGTTTTTTTTCTTCTTAACTAATTTAATAATGGTATATTTTGGAAATGTTTGTTAATAGCGTGATTAAGTTAAGTATATTCATATTAGCTGTTGATAACTATGTACACCATGTTGATTCAGGTACATACATTCATTTCATATGTATATTCCAATTTTATTGTGAGATATTTTGTAAAAATGTAGCATTCATCTTCAATTTTTTTTTATTAAATAGCTGAAATACATAATTAAGCATAAAACATATACGATGGTAAATATCCACTATTTAGACAAATCAGCAACCATATGTATATACACATATAAACATGTGTATCTTGTGAATTATCCTTATTGCATACGTTGTTCGGACGTATAGTCCTGTGTCATGGGTATCTGTTGATTAAAAGAGGAGGCCTCGGTTGCCATGTTGTCTAGGTATTTCGTAGATAGTCATAACTAGCCTGTTAACACTGAGGTTGTGAATTCGAACCCCGCTTGTATTCGACTTATATCTTGACTGAATAATAATGGCAATTATTCATGCTTGATGCCAATGGTCGATTAGTCTGTCCGGTACTCCAGTATTCCACGACCTTAAAAACTGGCCGCCATGATATAACTAATAGAGCTGAAAGCGGCATTAAACACACACAATCAATCAATCATGATAAAAAGAGGCAAAAGATACCAAGGGACGGTCAAATATCATAAGAATAGAATATATCCTGCTCCTTGCTTATAAGACTTATTTCCATCTCTTAAAAGTATATCACTCTGAAATATTATGATTCCTACAATTTTTGTGTTCAAGAATTTTAAGGGCTACCAGCTAGGTGTTTTTTTTTTAAATTAATTTTAACTCTGTGCTGAAGGCCATACTGTGAACTTGACTGGTTACCAACCTCGACAAATTTGGTCTCTGGTGGAAGATTGTCTCATTGACAATCATACAAATTCTTATTTTAAAAGATTTAGTCAATTGTTAAGTTGGATTGATGTGTTATTTCAATTACAACAAACACTTTCTTGTCAAATTCCATGGTTTATTACTTAGTAATGATACTAGTAAATTTAAATAAAAGTTTCAAGGGAAAACAACTTTTAAATGATTATAAAGATAAAACAAAGTAAATCAAATATAATAGTAACTTTCATCGTGGTGCCATTCCAATGCATGTACCGCCATCATAGGGATTCTCTCTTAGACCATGTTATATTGTCATCAAGACATTCAAATCTTCCAATGCGGAAGCGTTAGTGCTTTTGCCAAATTATGGTCTTCCAAGGAGCACTTTAGTTAAAACATATCGCCTTATCGGTAAAAGAATTGTTCAAATCACGTAATTTTCACTGCTGTGTTTGGTAGTAAGGTTGTTGCCTGCGTTACCACTGTTACTACACATACTCCACGTGTGTCTTACGTTTAGAATGTATATCATATTACATTTGTCCATAAAACAAAAGAAAACGTTGTGAATGTTAGACCTAGGTCGTTTCTGGTGTCAATTTCCGTGTCTGAATGGCGTTATTTTAAAACGCATAACTGATTAAAGTTTTGGTTTTATGAATTTAGAGACGAACACGCGCGGTTCCGTACTTAACGCAAGTTTTTAAAAAAAGTACTTTTTTCTCGTCGACCTTTCACAACACGCGGGAAATCCGACGAACGATGAATTAATTTGACGTGGCCTTAGCTGTGTTTTCTTCTAGTTGCATCAGAAGGGGGAAACAAGTATTGCAGTTGAACAATCATTGTCATCAATGTTTTATTTGTTGTTGTTTATATAATAAAAAAGATGGAGAAGTTAATTAGGCCCTGAAAAATCATCAGTTAAACAAAACCAGATAGCAAGATGGAAAAACCCGCCAAAAAGATAGCAGTCAATAAATCAATACATAAACATTTAAAAATTGAGGAACACGAACCCCACTTAAACCAGGGATGATCTCAGGTGATCAAGAAAGGTCAGAACGTTTTGTTGCACAAGTGACGCCAGCTAAGGTGATCTTGTTTAAATATATCGTTGAGTCATATCCAGTATTTAGACATATATCCAAGGTTTGACATTAACTTTTTTAACAACTTGCAAACTAAAAAAGGAATAAAATATAGTGGATCACCGAAAGTGCTGTACCAACCCAATGTAACCACATGAGTTGACCAGTGGCCTTAGAAAAAACCCAAAGCAAAATATATATGGCTTAATTCATAACATATAATGTTGTAGTTTATCTGTTTGTATTTGTTGTTGTCTAATTTTCGAGGACTTATTTGTCTGTCCTATATACAAATTATCGAATCTACAACATCTCCGATATTCCTATAGAAGAGGGACGAAAGATACCAGAGGGACAGTCAAACTCACTGAGTGTGTTTCTATGATTCAATAGGTATCATTCCTTTGTTTAACATTTAAGAGCAATTCCCTGTAACCACCAAAGAAATTCTAATAGGGTCTGGCACACATGGTCTCAGATTTTGATGAAACTTTTATATAATACCCAGTACCATACCTAAAGGCAATAACAGGCAACAAATTGTTCCGGAATATTCCGGTTGCCATGGAAACCACATAGGTTGATATTAGCAATAAAAGGTCATATTTTAACTCTTGAAAAAGTGAAAAAATGACATTTTGCACTGTTAAGTACTTGATTTATGTGTAACATATCCTTTTTTTCTGAATAATATAATATAACTGACCTTTAAGCTGTTTGAAATTCACATATGTTTTACTTTTACCATTATCAGTTATTTTGCTACCAGCTAGTAAAGATATGCTAAAATGGCAAATTTGGATTTCAGTGAAAAATGCGTAAATACAGGGTATTCAAGTGAATTTTTTTCTTGAATGCAGCGTCTCCTAGTAAAATGTTAGGTATATTTAGAAAGAACCAATAGAGGTCTTCCAGAATATAAAATAAAATCAATGGGCAAATAATTGCAAAAAATATTTTTAATGAATGAAAAACACAAGATTTTCAAATTCTGTAAATTGTATTTTTCTACAAGTCAATAATGATCCAAGTAATTTCCATATTTAAACAATACAAAGATGGCATTAAATTTCTTACAATTTAACAAAATTGATCAGTTAAATTTTTCAGTCCACAAAAATAGTTTTGTTTAATGAAATTTAATAAAAATGGTTGCTATGGTAACCGAATTTCGAAAATTTTACAATTTTTTTTTCTTTCTAAAATTAAGTATGTATCTTTACATTTTTAAAGATTTAATTTTGTAATTGAATACAGAGGGAAGAAAGAACTGATTGTGCATATTAGTTTTTAACTGATACAGATCAACAAAGTTTGCTATTTATAAAGCAATGTGGGTAAAATGCTGGTCCGACTTAAATATTTAAAATAAAGTAAAACACCTTCTAAGTACATGCAAATTTCATTATATTAAACTCATATTGGTGCAATCATGTATAGGTAATTTAGGAGATAACTGTATTGTATTTTAACCTTTTCGGACATAAAACGTAGATATTACTGTCGCAAATTGAGTTTACCTAGCGACCTGTAGCAGAGCTAGGTAAACGGATAATTGCAACAGTAAAATCTAGATTTACGTCCACAAACCTTAAAATACAATACAGTTATATCCATTATAATGCAATAGTCAATAAAGATATTGTTTCTGTTTTTTATTTGGACATATAGTTGCTTAAAATAAAAATTCCACAAAATGTTGTTGACTTCTTTGGCACATAAACTTCATAGCAACATCATGACGTCATATGAATACTTCAAGTGTAAAACTGTAACATAGTATGTTTTGGGGCTTTGATAACGCTTCAAATTTGGATATAAGCTATTAAAAAGTAGTTTAAGGTAGGCTTTTTTTTTCTCTATTTCGCCTATTTATTGGGAAAATATAATGTCGTTGAATCCAATATGGCTGCTTCTTGCATCCTTTCAAGATAAATAAAATAAATCCGTCATGATTTTTTTCTGTTTGATGCTAAAGAAAATCTTTTTCTTTTTCACTTTCAATGCCCATCACATTTCTTTGGCACTCAAGTCTGTAGTACATGCATTTTCTAGTAAGACTGCTTGCATATCAGGACAATGATGTACATTATTTGACAGCTTTTGGGCATATAGAACTTTTGCCTGATCTTTTAATGGGCCTTTCTCTAGCTTATATTCACAGCTGCCTTGAAGGAGATGTTGATCAAGAATAATCTGGTTCTTGAACTCTTGAATGCAGCCATCCATAGAACAAATGAATGTCTGCTTCTGTTGTTTTGAAGCCTATTCTGTTCCTAAAAAGAGGATAAATAAAATAAAAATTGTTTCCCAAAAAAATAAAAAAAATTCAAATTTACTACATTAACCAAGTTCAGTTCCAATTGGCCAGTTGTATCAGAAGATTTTTGAAAAAGTTTATGCCAGACGGACTCAAAATAGGCCAGGTGACCTAAAAAGGACAACGATACAACATGTATAAATTTCTCTTTCAACAATGGACAGCCTGATTATCTATAATAAGATTCTGTCGATACCCATAATCCTGTAACCCACAAGCAGGAAATTTTAATAATGCATAGCAATGTTTATTGAGTTTTGTGTTGGTTTTTCTCGGTTGTTGTGACAAAATATAATAATGATCATTGTCTTACAAGTGTGCTTAAGTTTTGTACATGACAGTTAGTAAATGAAATAATTATAAAATTACCTTCAGTAATGAGGTCATTAAAAGACATCTCTGTCCAGTCATTGAGCACTTTTAACTGCACAGAACAGTGGCGGATCCAGAAATTTTCATAAGGGGGGGCCCACTGACTGCTTAAGAGGGGGCCCGCTCCAGTCATGCTTCAGTGATTCCCTATATAATCAACAAAATTTTTCCCACAAAAGGGGGGCCCGGGTCCCCTGAAAAACCCTCTAAATCCGCCTCTGCAGAATTCTTTGTTGATTTTAAAGTCACAAGCTTTCCTGAAATGAAAATTGTAATTAAAGAACCTGTATTCATTTTATTGTTTGTTAAATTGATCAATATGGAAGTTTAAAAAAAATAACCAACTTCAAGATCATAAACTCTATAGATTTTTTATGCCGTTATGATATAAAATTACGTGAATTTTTATAGCATCCATTTTAGTCTAGGAGTTTGTGGTATTTTAATCAATAGGCTCAATGCAACCTTTTTATTAAGACGATTTAATTTTTTATGTTTTAAGATGAAGTGCTGAGCTTATTGAATTTAGTATTGGTATTGCTTTTAATTTTCTTTATATACTTTTAACCTCTGAACCAGGATTTCGGAGGAGGGTTGAGTACTTATAGACTTCTTTTACCCACCTGTGTACAAGCCTGACCCTGTATTTTCAGTGGTTGTGTTATGTTTAAAACTATATGTTATTTGTAATCTGTTTTTTTCTTTATGTTGAATATAAAAGTAATACCTTCATCAATATTGTATGTCTGCCACATCCTCAAATGACTGCTCTCAAATCTAAAGTTGTAAAAACTTGTAATATTGGTTATTGTTTCTTTATTCTTAGTTACATCTAAATCAAGGATTGTGTCAACAACCTTCACCCTGTAACGCTTCCCTGGTACTTTATCAAGTGCCTACAAAAGATTGGATACTAAAAGAATTCTGATAGACACAATATAAAACAAGGTGTGCTGTGAGTCATTGCTCACTAGTGATATCCCTGCTTTTTAATAGGTAGCCATTAAACTTTCACATTGATTTGTGATAGCCTTTTTGATTTATTTTGTGAAAACTGTTTGTGACGGACAGACGGAAAGCTGATTACTATAGGGCTCCTTTGTCTGAATAAAAAGATAAGATATCAAATAAAGTTAATGAAATATCTTATATCTAATTTATGAGATATCTTATAAAATAAATAAGATATCTTATAAACTAAACAAGAGGAGGCTCCGGGGTCCCCCACTGGTGCTAAAATATAATATTTCCATAAAGCACTTGTGACCTTGACCTTTGAATGACTAGAAACATCAAAATCAATAGGGATCTTCCTTACCTAATAACATTCAACTGTGTAAGTTTGAAGAAATAATATGAAGGTGTTCAAAAGTAACAGTCCAGAAACCGATTGTCAGCTGAAAATTCAACATCATTGATCAGTCGAGGCAAATAGGAAATTGCATAATATTATGAAATATCCTAATTAAACACATTATTTTGAAATTCAATAATATTAGTTATTCGAATAATTTTGTTGCAATATTATGAGATTTCGTAATTCATAAAATTATGGAAATCCATAATATAAGAAGAAATTTTGATTTTCAATTAATTTTTTCGTTCGTTTTTTGGACCCCTTGACTATTTTTGGGAAATTCTTCGGAGAAAAAAGTTATTTCTGAGTGGCGTTTATATCAGGGCGTTAGGAACAACTGTCAGATTTTCTACGAAACGCCTAAAATTCTCCCGAATCCCCGCTATATGAATTATTTTGAATATTTGACAATGGGAGGTAATCCATATCGACTAAATGGGCAAATTGCGGTTATTGCTCTTTGATAATTATATTTTTATTTTATGTTGATGATGTGAATTTTTAAAATGTCTTTATTACTTTGCAGTGATTTACATCTGTTTACATCTGTTTACTTTAATTACTTTTATTCATCTTAAATCATATAGTTAGGCCACACCAATTAAATTCCTTGTTCGACAGACCAGTCGCCATAATATTTTTGTCTAAACAAATTTTTTTTTTTTTTATTATTCCCGCTTCCAGCATCTGGAAATGTAACTGGGTGTATTTCCCGCGCCTGTTTTTTTGTAAACATTTAAGAAATGACTTTAATATGTTTTCTGTCTATTCGAAATAATATAAAAAATGTGGTGCACACTGAATAACCCGCGTATGTTATTTCGAATAGACAGAAAACATATTAAAGTCATTTCTTAAAATTTAATTCTAAAAAGAAGTAAATCATGATAAAAACGTTGATAACGTCTCGGTCGCATGACAAAATTATGTCTATGAGCTGATAGACAAAACACTTTCAGCCAATCAGATGACGTGTTACATCCAAAATTAAATTAATACTAAATTAGTTAGCGATCGTCAGAGCGTTTTAATCGACGTCAAATCGCGATCCTTTAAACTGTCTCGAGCATAAACACATATTTCTTATCAAAGTCACGACGAAGAAACACACAACCAACATACACAAAAAACTAAAAAGTATACACATTAACGAACACAATAAATCCCTAAAACCTTGGGTGAACTCAGGTGTTCGGGAAAGATAAACAACTCCTGCTTCTTGCAAGACACCCGCCTTGTTTCTAATTATAAGTCAGGTCTTGTGAATGAGGAAAGACATCTATGAAAGTTCAATGAAAATCATTTAAGACAGTTAAAATAATTATTGAATTATTCAGTTCGATATCTGATGTTCTTAGAAAGTAACAGTAATACAAGAAGCCATAAATATGATGCAATTAAAAGTGGGCATTACATGTTGGTGAACAGAAAAAAACGCATCAGCAGTTGATATATTAAAGAAATGCCAAAGTTCAATTTGTAAATCAAATTTCATACCATCTTGATCAATATTGTATGAACCTATGATTTTATTTTTCAAAAAAAAAAATATATAATTGGTCGCCTTTACTTTTGAAGCTTCTCTTCAAAAATTTGTATTTTTTTTTTTTTTTAATTTTCAAATCGCTCGCTCGCACTAATTTCTGGAATGGAAAAATCCGTAGAACAAGAAATTAAATTGTTGTGGCCTTAAAGACGTTAAAAATTAAACGTAGTTGTTAAGACTGTTGTCATTTTGAACAATAAAACATTGATAAAATAATAAATACATTTGGTGATAATGGTGTAATTTTTCCAAATAAAATAACGACAATTAACAAATGAATTTAACAGTTAAAAGTATATTTTGTTATCAATTTTGTATATGCAGATATTTACTTTATTTATTGCGTGTATAAGACACTCTGATAAAAACAAAATAACGATAAAAATGGTTTCAAGTTAAATTATAAATGACATTGCCTTTTCCCTATTTTGTTGGGGTGATACATAACCTTTTGTTAAATGAATCATTGGTTAAACTAGGATTCACACATTTTGAGGAGATTCAAACCAGTTTTCAATCAACAAATAAAGTTTCTTGTACATGGAAGAATCCTAAAATATAGCTTTGATTTATCGATAAACTCCAGCTTTAGCATTATGTCTTTTTTTAAACTGAGCCCTATCCGTGATCAAATGATTTCCTTAATAGTATGCAGTTGTCAAATTAATGGTCATAATGGAACGTTAAGAATTAAGACACATACAAAATGCAGGGTATTCGTAAACGAATAATTATCTTCTGAACGTACACTATCTAAATAAAAATCTAATCAGATTAAGTAGACACACTTCTGTATAATATCATTCCGAGTGATAAGTTTATCCGACCAGCCTACAGTTATAACATCACAGTTGTTTGAATTATTACAAAGAGATGTCTCACTATGCCTGTGATCTTGATTTAAAGGGGAATTAGTTAATATTTTTATTGTTATGAAAGTGTTCATTATACAAAATATAAATATTTAACTTAACAAATGACAAGAAGGGATACTGTGCAACGATTAAACAAATTAACACCGTATAAAATCGATATATTAAATTATTTCATATATAATGTAAAATGTATTCAGAAAAAAGTTAATCTCTTAATGAAATTTATTTTAAAATTGTTACTGATAATCTTATTTTCACAAAGTCTTAATATTGTTAACCACAGTGTGTTTACGCACACCGGTCTATTCACTTGCATCAAACTTTTAAAAAGTTTTAATGTCCTTATGATTGTTATAAATTGAAACTAATTCTGATCTGGTCTCCAAGATTATTTTTTTACGAAAGCATTATCATGATTAATCATTTAAAACTGATTTTAACAATAATCAAAACACTAGAGGTTTTCTTGATTTGTACGATTTATTCATATCAATTATTTATTACTTATATCCAACAAACAGGCATTATGAAACATCACTGATCCTGTATGTGTTCCAACAATGTTACAAAAGAGTGTGCGTTCAATAAGCATGATAAGTGATAAAACCTTTGAAGGACAAAATTAATGTACCTGTCGGATATTTTTATTATAGAACAAGTTGTCGTTGTGATGCATCGTTCTTTCATCACATTTAAATACAGAAGTTATTCAAAACATCTTCGTTAAACCTGGTTTTACAGCTAGCTTAACCCCCCACTTGTATGGCAGTCGCATACAATTCCATTATATTGACAACGATGTGTGAACAAAACAAACAGACACAATAGGTAAAAATGTCAAAAATTGGGGAACAGCAGTCAACATTGTGAAATAATCTTAATCACTATAAAAACAAACCAATATATAATAAAGAAATACAAAAAGGCATATAGACAAAGCACATAAGCAAAAATGAAAGACAAGAATACTAAAATTGACCATAACACAATGACGGGATGTATAAGTACAGAGCCACGTCATATGTAAAAAAGAAACACAAAAAGACATATAGACAAAAAACATTAGCAAAAACATGAAAAAGGAAAGACAAGAATACAAAAATTTACCATAGCACAAAACACAATAACAGAACGTTCCATCTCTTTTGAAATTCGTCTGCGATATCCCTCAAATCATTTGGATCAGTTGGTTATGAAATCACCTCATCTTTATATTCTTCAACTATTGCTCGGCAAACCTCGGGTAAAAATTTGCTTACAGTATACCGAGCAACTCTTAAGTCATACTGCTAGGTAGAATACTTTTCACCAGTAGCTTATTGTCTTAATGTGATGGTAAATTTGAAACCAGGCGACAAGGCTCTTCTATATAGAGTATCTGTCTTCTTGATTCTTGGTTTAACTTTTTCAAATATAATGCATCGAACATCTCTGGTGGCATTCTCAGAAAATTAAAGAAGGAAGGTTCATCCTCGAATCGTAACTCGTTCATCAACTGACCATAATGACCACACTGGAGCCTCCTTTCGGAGGAAAACTAAGATCAACCCCAACAGGCCTAAAAGTCTAAAGTTTCTTTTTATTCTTCTTATTCGCTTTCTCAATAACAATATCATGGCCAGGTCGTTTAGATTGTGTTTCTGTGTTAATGATTGTAGAAGAATAACTACATTTACATGGTCTTGTATTTTCATGGTTCAAATGAAGTTGATGTTTCAAACAAAACCTGGAGAGCTTTTTTTATATTTTATCTGACAATGACAATGAGCATGACTAGAACTCGAAATGGTCGTGGTATGAACGTATAGTCAGGTCGTAAGAAGAGCGTGATGAGGACGGCATGGGCGTGCTAGAATCGTACTATGGTCTTGAACAGGGTGATATAAACGTGGTAAAGTCGTAGTAGAAGCGTTGTTCGGTCGTGGGGAGAATGTGATTGTCGTAGTAAGGTCGTAGTAACGTCGCTGTGAGATCGTAGCTCAGTCTCTCCGACTAGAATCGCGCTTTTGCTACGATGGTACAGCAACCTGTACGATCTTACCACGACCTTACTGTGCTCTCACTACGTTTCTACAACGACCTGATTTCTCCACGACCGCACCACGATTGGGTTGAACA